TTATACTGTGTAGAGAGTGCGTTATAGAAACAGACAATCAGAGCTTTGCCGTATCAACGAGTGACGGAAATGTCTGGCTCTGATTGGTTGCTTCTATGACGCACGTTCTATTCCGCAGCTCTATTCTGCACCATGTGATTTCAGCCTAAGACTGTTTCGACGGAATTTTTGAAAGGGCTTTATTCATATATTCTATAATATACTGCGTCTATGGTAAAGACTCTAGTCTTTCTTATATGTATGTAAAAATCGAAATTGTTTAAGCAGCAAGATAAATTATTTAAATTGAGCGGTAGGAAACGCCATTATTGATTTAGTTGTCTCGAGTTTCTGTTGAAGGCGCTGTTTTCGGTGCCGTCGTTCATAACGCGATAGCTTGTCCATCTTGGTTCACATTTGGTTCAACCTGTTTGAAGCTAAACGAGAGAACGGGGCGGTGTGTCACACGTGAAGAGGCGATTTTTCCAATTTTCGACGAAAATGGCAATGCACATACCGAAGGCGCCCGGCGTGGCACAGATGCTTAAGGACGGGGCTCGCGTAAGTAATCAGTTTTACAATAATTTACTTACCACGTGCACGCGACAAGTCGTCGCGCGGTTCCGTCGACGACGCTCGCTCCTGGCACATGAGAAAAGGATCGTCTCGCGCTATTACCTTTTATGGGTATTTCAACTCGCGATTCGGCGTATCTGAAAATTTTCAACACGAATAAAGAGCGGCCTTCCTTAAACAATGTTTGAAGTATCATATCTTGTTTGAGTCAAACTTGAAACAATTATGCGCGTATCGAACAATAAAATGAAAAATGTGGCTCTGCGCTGTCTGGAATCTTCCTTGTTTTAGAAAATTTAATTTGAATAAAATATGGATAGTTCACGTGTGAAAAATGAGTGACGTTTTTACGTGTGGTATAGCAAATAGTAAGATAAAACAAATTTAGTTTTTTGACATGTCGAGCCACACTTGGCCGCTCAAGATTTTGACGAGCTACGTTGTAATTTTAGCATTTTTCGGGTCTCGAAGAAGCGGTCTACAGGAACATTACGGCCTGCAAGCAATTTGCGAATACCGTGAAGAGCGCGTACGGTCCTAATGGCATGAATAAGATGGTCATCAATCACATTGAGAAATTGTTCGTGACTAATGACGCGGCGACAATCGTCAACGAGTTAGAGGTGGAACATCCAGCTGCCAAATTGTTGGTCTTGGCGTCAAAGATGCAGGAAGCTGAAGCTGGAGACGGGACGAACTTCGTTATTATCTTTGCTGGTGAATTGCTTCATGCCACGGAAGAACTGCTGCGTAAGGTATATTGACTCGTAATATTTAATTATATCAACCCTCTCGTGACCGAATCAGTTTTTAGCTTCTGTTAACATGATATTTTTCTTGGTAACAAAAAGTGCGTTAAGTCACTAAAAATCTTGTCAAATTTTGTAACCGAGACTTATATGTCTCAATGATGGAATTAATGTATTGATAAAGTCTTTAAATTGTATTTGAAATGTAAAACTCTTTTTCGGGAGTGAGTTATACGTTTGTGTAACAGTGATATTTCACGCTGTGATTTTGTTAAATTGCAGTACAACATGACAACTTCACAAATCATCGAGGGTTACGAGACTGTCCTGAGCAAAGCACTTGAAATCTTACCGACCTTAATCGTTCACGAGGTGACGGATGTGCGAGACGAGGAACAGGTGAAAAAGGGAATTAGGAGCACCATCATGAGCAAGCAGTATGGAAACGAGGACATGCTCGCTTCCCTCGTCACTGGGGCCTGCATCTCCATTTTGCCGGAGAAGACGACGTTCAATGTGGATAACGTGCGAGTTTGCAAGATACTCGGGGGTGGCTTGAGCAACTCCCAGGTGATGCAAGGCATGGTATTTAAGCGCCACGTGGAGGGAGACGTCACGAAGAAGACCAGTGCGAAGATTGCGGTTTACACTTGCGCCGTTGACGTCATTCAGACAGAGACCAAAGGCACCGTACTGATCAAGACAGCCGACGAACTCTTGAAGTTCTCGCGCGGCGAGGAATCGCTTTTGGAGGATCAAATCAAAGCGATCGCCAATAGCGGCGCCGAGGTGGTGGTGTCCGGTGGAAAATTCGGCAACATGGCTCTGCATTATATGAACAAATACAACCTGATGGCTGTTCGTATTCCGAGCAAGTTCGACATCAGGCGACTTTGCAAGACCGTCGGTGCCACCGCGCTCTCTAAGCTGGTAAATTTATTCGCCCCAATCAAATTCCTCCTCTGCGTACCGCACATTTGTATCTGACGTAGACTAGGTGGTGGAATAAGCTGTTACAATAATCGGCGATTTTTCTGTTAAAGGTGCCTCCGACGAAAGAAGAGCTAGGCTACGCCGACACAGTATACATAGACGAATTGGGCGACACCCTAGTGGTAGTGTTCAAGCTGGAGGGAAGGGAAAGCCGCGTCAGCACTGTGCTTGTGCGCGGCTCGACCGAGAACTATATGGATGACATCGAGCGCGCGATTGACGATGGTGTTAACACTTTCAAAGGTATCACGAGAGACGGCAGATTTGTCCCGGGTGCGGGCGCCACAGAGATCGAACTCGCCGCGCAGCTACGGGCGTACGCAAAGACGCTACCTGGGCTCGAGCAGTATGCCGCTGAACAATTTGTCACCGCTCTGGAGATATTCCCAAGAACTCTGGCCGAGAGCAGCGGTGTCAACGTTTCCGAGCTTGTGTCGAAGCTGTACGCAGCGCACAAGGAAGGCAAGACAAACTATGGTGTTGATATCGACGTACGTGTCTACCGTTTATATTTTAATGATTCAATGTTTCTTGTGTTTGTCTTGAATGTATGAATACCACCTGTGATTTTCTTTTATAAAACTGGCATCTGTATATTTTCTTATAATAATTATTAATTATATAATATGGATTATCTTACAGGCTGGAAGCGCAGCTTTAATTGATACCGTCGAAGCGGGGATCTTAGATCTGTATCTGACGAAACAATGGGCTCTCAAGTACGCGGTCGGTGCGGCGTGCACGGTTCTTAAAGTGGATCAAATCATTATGGCAAAACGGGCGGGCGGCCCGAAAGTTCCATCGGGAGGCGTTCGTGACGAAGACGAGTAATAGTGCATGAATTGGTGGCACAATGGCAAACTTTTATGTCTAAAACGTTATTTGTGTTTCTGAGGTTTTTTTTAGGGGCGCTATTGGAATAGAAGTAAATATCATGTATGTGCTTAATTCCACATTAGAAAGAAAGAAAACAATGTACTTTCTATTGTGCGCTTTTCCATCTCCGAAAGTCCGCAAGAATCTTTTCATTTTATATTTTCATCCAACGTGCTGAATTTCAAATTGCACGAATTTAAAATTCAGCAGATACATTGGATGAATATCAAATCAAATACTAAATAAATCTGTTAAATATACTGTGATACGATTTTTCCTCTATTAATATGTGCAATTAGTTACGTGATGTCCCGCATTGTCGGATACTATATATTTATTTGAAGTAAATCGCAGTCGTAAAAATAATCAACTGCGATTGGTCAATTTCGTCAGACACATAAGAATTGACCAATCATAGTCGACTATTCTTACGACTACGACTTTACGACTTCTATGTAGACGGGGCTTTCTGCGGGGTCTACAATGCGAGTCGCAGTCGTAGGAATAGTCAACTTTAATTGGTCAATTCAGTCAGACACATAAGAATTGACCAATCATAGTCGACTATTCTTACGACTTCTATGTAGATGAGACTTTCTGGGGGTCTACAATGCGAGTCGCAGAGTCGTCGTAAGAATAATCGACTGCGATTGATCAAGCCTCCGCTACAATGATTCTCGGTTCTGTCTACAATGCGAGTCGCAGAGTCGTAGTCGTAAGAATAATCGACTGTGATTGGTCAATTCTTACTTTGCGACTGCTCAAGCGACCATCGATACAACTGTACAACCATTGTAGACAGAACCGAGAATCATTGTAGCGGAGGCTTCAATTTCGTCAGACACATAAGAATTGACCAATCATAGTCAACTATTCTTACGACTACGACTTCTATGTAAACGAGGCTTTAACATTCGACGTTTGCCGCTTCCATGTAAAGGCGCCTTGACATTTCGTATTTCTTCCTGGAAATTGGAATACCGGTATGTAAGTTATGCCCTTAGTGCTTCATCCTTTTGTTTGCAAGACGCACTTTTACTAATGAGAGGCAGATTATAGTGAAATTATCATGTTTCGCACAGTAAGTATCGCAGCCATTATTGTACGAAAGTAAGATACGAATCATTTCGGAATAAAGCTCACGGGTTAGTGTATGTGCATTACTTTTTTAGGTTATTTCGCAAGTTTGCACTCGAGCCGCCCGGTTAAACAATGTACGATATTTGTCGGGCGAGGTGAATGAGGCCGCAAACATAGAAAAATGTAAGTGCACCCAAGTCGTCCGGAAACTACTAATAACCATAAGAAAAAGGATATAAACAATTTATATCTTTAATGTCGTCTGCGGTATATAGAATGTTTACCTAACACCACTTTTTTAAATTTCTCTTCTTTGTAGCTGTAAATAATGTTACGTTGCTTGGAAGAGTCGGGGCAGATCCTCAAAAACGTGGAAGCGATGAGCGTCCGGTTGTGATATTCTCACTTGCGACACATACAAATTACAAATATGAAGCGGGTATGTGCAATCGACCTAACTCCAAGTCTTAAACGTGCAATAATGTCATGTTCGAAGGAATAATTGTACTGAAGTATATTTATTTATTTCCAGGTGAGTTTATGCAAAGAACAGACTGGCACAAGATATGTGTTTTTAAGCCTACTTTAAGGGACACTGCGTATAAATACCTTAAAAAAGGTCAGCGAGCGATGATAAATGGTAGAATAAGTTACAGTGAATTCAAAGATACGGCTGGAAACGTATCCTACAGTACGGCTATCATAGCGGACGAAATAATATTTTTCCAATAAGCTCCAATGAACAGAAAGTTTGTACGTGTAAATAATACATATATTTTGTTTTTCTCAATAAAATTCATGCAGCAGTAGACGTTGCCTTTTATTCCGCAATCTACGTGGATAACCGAATGGGCGAGAACGCGCTTGCTTAAAATATATATTTCTGCTCATAGATTTCCAATTGCTGAATGCTTCAAATAATCTGAATTTAATATTGTTGGTGTTTTGGGTAATTACTGTAATTAAATTTATTAGAAATTGTTAACATCCATGTTTGGTGTCCAAATGCACGGTGGCTTATATTGATTAGTGTCTGAAAGTTTTATTTTTAGCGAATTATCTTTTGGACGAGTTGAAAGAATAGTATACGTATCTTCTTAATAACTAAATAAGTCTATATTTACAACATTCATTATTTCATGTATTCTCCATGTAACAACTTATATAATAAAACAGCTCTAATTTCTAGAATTTTACATGATTTATACACGCGAAACGATATATAAACTTCTTCAATCTTAGACGCACATGCGTTGTTTCGCACTACTGTTATGTCTTCATATATGCTGTTATGTATATATAAAACATATATATATAAATATAAATATATATCATAAATATATTTATAGATATACATATATTTATTTCATTTATATATAAACACTTCTTTCCTTCTGACACTTGACCATGGGAAAATTATTTACACGATTGTAAAGAGAAAAGATATATATATACAGGGTGTCCTGAAATTCGCGAATCAAAATACCATAGCAAGAAAGTCGTCGAAAAAATAAATTAAAAAGTTATTTACCATTTTTCGTTCCGAGCAGTAGTTGTTTTTAGATAAAAGGTTCAAAACAGGCCAATTATACATTACGGTTGAACGGAAACCTGTCCGTGAGTCGCGCGTCGATAGTGTTAGTGCATTAACACTATCGACGCGCGACTCACGGACAGGTTTCCGTTCAACCGTAAT